AGGGTTGATCACTCTCCAAAAGCATACTTCTCAATTAAACAGGCAAAAAACCACTTTCTTGATTAATAGTTCTAAAGAGTTTTTCTTCTCACCTTCAGCCAGTCCAAGCAACTCACAACATAACTTGCAGATCAGATACATCCTCAGGCTTTCGATACTCAGTGGTGGCAATTGGCTTACTGCAGGTACCACCAAACCTGCAGCAGTGTCTGCACTGGTGCTGTGTATGTCACTGGGAATTTGGTCTTTTTTAATGAAAAAGCATGAATGGGTTTGGTCATTGTTTCAGATGACCGTGTTTGAGTTTGCAATGTCTTTTTATCCACTAGGTTTTCTTACTTCTTATTTGGGAAGGAGAAGGCTTCCTGCCCATTTTTCTCTTGCTTTGGTCATGGTCACGGTCACCTAAATGTATACAAGAATATACTCATCTTGTGTGACTGTTCAATTGTTTGGTCCTGTGTTGTTTCATGGCAATAGAACAAACTGACTGTTTGTTGTAGAAGAAGTTGCATGCTTAATAATGATGAAAAGAGTAAAATGGTCTTTCCTAGCAGTGGAAATGGTTGTCTAATTCCTATGTTGTAACAAATTTTTCTTCTCCCTTTGAAAATACAAATCAGCATCATTGCATTAGGCAGGTAAAAACATTTTTTATTAAATGGAACAAAAATTAAATTTAAACACTCTATGAATTCAATCTTCTTTTTTCTTTCCCTGAATCTTCGGCAAGAAATTGTGGTAACATTGAAACATGTAACAAATGTCGGTATTTTCTTACATCTACCACTTTCAGTTATTCTTCTACCCTAAATGTGACCAACATTTTTAATTATATTACTTTAAAAATTAGAAATAAAGCATCCTGATAGGATATCTTTTTCAATTTTGAAAGTAAAAAGCAGAAAGAGAAATTTGTAAAAAAAAAAAAAAAAAAGGCAACTTGGTAGTCAAACTGCTATTCTGTTTTTGTTTCCTACAGGTTACCTGGGGTTTATGTATAAAGCTGAGGAAAAATTATTTTCTCCAATAAGTATTTTCTGATTTTTCTGATTTAGCACTTTGGAATTGTAACATGTTCTCTTAACATTTTTGCTATTATTATCATGCTAATCATGTGTGCAAATTAAAAAATTCACCAAGAATAATTTTCAAAAATAATAATTGCTTCCTTTTAAATGTGTTTTCATTTCCAGACTTCATAACCTCCTCCAGAGAATTATACAAGCTTTTCCATGAGCCAGATCTCAGCCTCACTTTTCTTTTTTCTCCAGTGCAACCTTTGGTGAAACAACCCCACTGCCAACTGATTAATATTTGCCTTGGTACCACTTTATACCTGTAACCAGTACAGTGGCATTGCAAATGGAGCAGCTAAAGATGCAATCTAGAGTTCAAATGGAAAAGGAAATTAACCCATTACTAATAGGTGGGTGGTTCATATGGCACTTTACATTTAGTTTGTATTTTTGTAAAGTAAATATTTATATATATTGTTCATGTAATTTATTACGTGTCCACATGTGTGAAATATATGAAGATTATTTATGATCTGTGTCAAAAGGTCACAAACAAATTGAATTTATGGAAAGGGATTGCTATTCCCTGGTGATCATGACAGTATGTGTTTCTAAAAAAATATGGAGACAGATCTTAGTCTGTTTGCTGCTCACCAAACACAATGGCTCTTAAGCTGCTGGCAGCAGCTCTTCACACTAAGTAACGGTATCTGTCACTAAAACAGAGTAGGACATATTGCAGCATCAATTATTAATTCGAAGTAACTTCCTCCTGCATATCACAAGTTGCAGCACCATGCATGAGCAGGAGAAAACCCCTGGGAAATGTAAAGGTCTTTCCTTATCCTCTTGTTCTGCTGCAAGCAGTACCCCATGTCTAGGTGCAGCGTCCTTTGATAAATGCTCTGATGCCCATGTTTTAAGAACATGAGAGAAGTATTCGGTTCAGTGGACACTTTTCTCCTTCTGGGCCAATCTCTCAATCCTTGAGGCCGGTAGAAGGTTGTTGAGTAATACATAAAGTCACTTGATGGTACAACAGGACATCAGTTCTTATTATGAATATAACCATCATAGGGCAGGAAAACAATCATTTTCTTCCCAAATAATTTTCTTTGGTGCCCCAGGAAAATGACAGACCCTCAGCAGACTATAAAACACCATTTTAATAACTCTGATGTTCATCAGTGAAAGGAAATATGAATGTTACCAATATTTGCACATGTTGTACTATATGTCTGGAAAGGTAGCCCTTATCCAAGACTTTTTTGTTGAATTTCTGGCACATTCCAATAACTTTTTCTTTTTGTTTGCATCAAATCATATTCTGCTATCCCTTGTGGCAGACCAAACACATTAATAGTGTTTTCGCATTGAAAGTTGCTTTCAAATGAGCACCAGCATGCTTTCTCTGTACTTTCACTAAACGTTCATATGTCTTCTGTAGGACATGTTAGCATCCTCTTCATTTATTCCTGCAGATTTTGCTGATTAAAGCTAATAAAAGATAGAGTAAAACTTCATATTTCAAAATTACTGGTTAATTATTATGTATTTACCATTTTAACATTTGTGTATAAAAACTGAGATGCTTTAGTGTACTTTGATACATTCATTTTTACAGAAATGTTAAAATGAAATGAGTTAGAATGATTCTGATCATTTTATAATCAAGATACATAGGCTTTTAACTAGCCTATAACCTCATCTTGCAAGGTAGTTACAGATGATACATTAGTTTAAAGTATTTACATAAGCTGTTCAAACACGGTAAACAATCAGCAAAAATTTTAGTTACATCATATTAAGTCTTGAAGTTAGTAAGTCATTTTTAGTGAGCACATACATGTATAAACATTTGGGGAAGTGATTGCAAAGAGTAGGTGATGACCTCAAAATTTCTTCCAGTACTAATAGATTTAGTATGAGGCTCTTTGTTGTTAGACATTAAATGATCCCATCACCAATTAATCTGAATATTTGCTTTAATACAGTTCTTTTATGACTGAAGTTTGGAGATATTTTCTTAGACTAGTTATATTTTAGTGGCTTAATCTCGTAATAAGTATTAGCCATAACTTGACAATATAGATTATCAGAAAGAATGGTTTTAATAAACTTAGAGTTAATTTGCTGGAAAATTATAATTGCTTCTTTTTTAATCAGTGTATGAGTTCACAAAGTGAGAAAATTAACTTTCTAAATATGGTCAAATTCCTATTTCTTCATTTCAGAGAAATTTCCTTTCAATGTACTATTGCCTGAGTGAGGGATAAATAAATGTTAGGCTGTGGTAAATATGGCATCCAGCAAAATTATGTATATTCCTGCTGTTATTAAGAAGAAGTTATCACTCAACATTATACTGCATACTAAATTGGATTTGCCTGACCGTGATAATGTTTATAAACTATGAGTACTCTGTTGTTGCTATTCATAAAGAAAGGGGCAAATCCAATCCTTCTTTACTATAAGTCAGTGTTTTCTTGGGGTTTTTTTTAGTTTTTGTTTTCCAAAAGTTATAAAATCAGGTTCTCTGTATCTCAGCTACTAGGCACATAAATTATCAAACTAGGAGAAGAAGGATTTTTTTTTACCCTCTGGATTGTTCAAGAAATAATTATTTAAGAAGTACACTAGAGGAGAGATCTTCCATTGAAGTGCCTCTGAAAAGAGAGGTGTGGGTCAATTCACATCAAAAGAGCTGCTAATCGGAAGGGCCCAAGGATGAATTTCTAAAAGAAAACCTAATTTTATTTGAGCACCAGTATCTATCACCATCCATTAACATTATTCCAGAGATTCACATGAACTAATTTTATCACAGAAAATAATCAATAATTTCTATTATGATCATAAGTTTGATCATAATTTTGAAATTGTTTTCTTGTCTTGTGGGGTGTTTGGGGGAGTTTTTTTAGCATATGAGTAGCAGATAAAGTCCACAGTTGATTTTTTAACCATAATTTCTCTAAAAAGCAAGCCTTCAGAACTGCAAGTGGACTACAAGGAGATTTTGGTAGTGTACTCAACATATTGAGAAAAACACTTTTTTTCTACTATTATTTGTCTTTCTAAGTTAGTCTCATGCCAATGTTTGTGGTTACTGTCACCAAAAAAAACCAAAAAAAACCCAAGAAATAGGCTGATGAAATATGCTTTAGAAATCAAACCACATTAAAAATTTTATTAAAATACATTCTATACTGAGTCCAGTTTGGTATTGATCCTTCTATTCCACAGCTTCTGCAATGTGGGTTTGACATTACCAAAGCTGACTTTGGTCATTTCTATGTCAACAGGTTTATAATGAGAAGTGGCTGTGTCGACATGGAAGTTCATCCCACATTCCAATGCCAAAGAACTTGCAGCCCCACCCAGGTGTCTCTTGGACCTTAAAAATAGGAATGTTTCAGCTCTGGCCCTCTGGGGGTGTCAGCTAGTCCTCAAGATCCAAGCCCTTGTACATCTCTTGGTTGTCAAAATTTGCCAGGACACATGTCCACCTAAAGAAGTAAACTACCACTGCTGGAAAATGGTATATAAGATGTGTATTACCATTCCTCTTGGACAAAAAGTTAAACTGTTTGCAAACAACCTTCACCTGGTTCTCAAGGTTCAGTGCACATGGAGCTTTAAACTGCTTCCAACACAGCGTTTCTCCTGCCTCTTCTTCCACAGCAAAACTGCTTTTAGATAGCAGTTTCCACAAAAATTAAGTTCATGTTGTATAACAGTACTCCAGACTAATTTTTTTTCCTAAAAGCCCATAATTTTAAAGTTCCTCATATATATTTGTATATATGTAGAAGAGACCATAAACATGTATAGTCTCCTAGACTTAAAAAGTGAGAAATTGCTTACATATCTATATATGTGTGTGTCAGTACATGCTCTCTCCTAATTTAAAGGACTACACAAAATGCTTGTCAGCATTTTGTAACAGAGAAAATAGTGGGAGAAAAAGTGGCTTATTAATACCTGCAGTATCACTGCCACCTGGAGAGGCTCAGTCCACACTGGAGATGTAAAATTTGGACTCAGATTTCTGATGTGGGATGCCAGACCTCCATTTCGATCAGTCAAAGATATCACTGCAGTTTTAACCATCACGCCACACCCATTTGGCATCTGCATAAAGGACTACACAGGGTGCAGAGCAAATACAGTGTTAGTCCCACTGAGCTTAAGAAACACCTATGAAGGGGCAAAAAAATCACAGTTCATCTGTGGATCTCTGAGATCTTTTTTTATAACTTAAAAATGTTCTGAGAGGTGCAAGTATAAAACAAAAGAGTTTCAGTACAGCCAAGATAAAAATAAAAAACACAAATAAAAACATATGTAGACCTTTAGAAAAAAGCTAAAAATTGTCTTCTACAAAACCCAAACACACACTCCCTTGTTCTTCCTGAATCTCATGAGGAAAGGGTGGTTCTAAGTTTTCTCTCCAGATGAAGAACCCATCAGCCTATTCCCATCCAGCACTTCTTCCATTATCCACATTATCCACTTTCTCTAACACCTGCTACAAAATATTTCACACTTGTTCTGCCTCACTCAAGGTACAGGGGAAAAAAGGCACTGGCACCATCAAAGGTTGTGCCCAGCACTGTAACTGACTCTTCCAAAGCAAGCCATCTTTACTGTCCTTGTGTTATGTGGATAAGGGTGTCTGTTTCATAGACATCATTCAAGGAACAGCATCAGTAGTACAGGAGTTGATACTTCAAATTCAGTGTGAAAGAAAGGACTCATGAGATTCCCATGGCCAGTCGTCTTTTATGATTTTCTCTCTCATAATATGTGATATTTTGAAGATGGAGTGCTGCTGCTATTGCACATAAGTAGCCTGTGGCAATGAGTGAGGAAGAGACTTTTCCAAGGCCCACACAAGGAAATGTATTAAAAACACATTTAAAAACCACGTTAGGTGTGTGTGTTCAGATGACTTTTTGAGATGTAGCCTATTGTTAACACCACAAAATCTATTACATACATCTATCATTGTTTAATGTCATACAGCTTTCATCAAACATATGTTGGCCAAGATTATCCTGTCCTTCCAGATTCATGTTGGTACATGTACACCACAAAGCTCAGACTAGTTCTTTCCTTGTCCTACTCCCTGTCAAGAGTGGAAGGGCCTGAAAACTGTTTTATTGCCCCTCAAGTAACAGGTTCACCAAAGGCCTATGGACAAACTTGGAATAGCTTTGTGTCTGTCCATTCAGGGGCCAAACCATATGCTCCAAAAAGGTTCACACTGGAAATGTTCTGCAGCAAAAAAGAAGGTTACATTACAGTTGCTGGATATGTTGTCTGAGACCGTCCTCAGTGGCCCAATCTTCACTAGGAGCACCAGGTGGGAACTCTTCAAGAGTGCAAGAGCAATGCAAAGCATTTGGGTGTCCTTTAGATGTATCTTTCTTAGCTTGAGTCATTAATTCAAGTATGAGTTATGTCAGAATAGAATAGAATAGATCAGAACAAAACAGAATAGAATATTTCAGTGGGAAGGAACCTACAATACTTATCTAACCCACCCGCCTCACCACTTTGTGTCTGACCAAAACTCATGTTATTGAGGACGTTGTCTAACGTTGTCTTAAACACTGATGGGTTTGTGTTTCAGTATTTGAAACCACCTTTTCAATAAAGAAATGTTTCGAAATGGCAAGCATAAACCTTCCCTGACACAGGTGTAAATCATTCCCACATGTCCTGTTGCTAGATGCCAGGATCTCCTTCTTCGCTTCTCCTCCTCAAGAAGCTGTAGACAGCAATGAGCTCACTCCACAATCTCCTTTTCTCCAAACTAAAAAACCCAGAGTGCTCAGCCGCTCCTCAACCACCCAAGCTTAGGCCAAGAAGGACCACAGTGGAGCTTGCCATCTCGTGTTGGTAGGCCTATTTCTGTCTGTCCAAGCGAGTCTCCTTAAAAATGGAAGTTGATTTACAGGACCACAACAGAGTTGTTCCAAAGATCAAGGACAAAGAAGCAGTGTTGGCATGATATGAAAATTATTATTAATAAATTATAAAATAAAACAAGCTGACCTCTTTTGCTCTCCAAAACTGAGGCAATTGTTTGCACCACACTAAGGTACAAATTTCTGAAAGTAACCCAAGGGCTGTACTCCTGTCTGCGGTTCGTGCTGGCCTGTAAAATGATCTGTAATGGAAAAGTGAGCAGCCACACAGCTGCCTAGTGATCCCCACATAGGTGGGCACCATGTCCATCCTGGTGGCTGTTACTTAGTAAGGGAGGAGGAGTGAGTCCACCACAACTACAGATTAACCCTATGTGTCCCAAAGAGGGGGTCATATTCTCTACTCAGAAGCTAAAAGACAGTGAGGTGGGCACAGAATTTATTTCCGGATGCAGAAGATAAGCACTTTAATAAAATATCCTGATTAAGGGAAATTAAATTCTGGTATTATTCCAGGTGTTCTGGAAAATTACTGTTTCCATATTAACCATTTCTAGATATTGAACAAATTTGTATAGCACTGATAAAAAATGTGAATAACCTTATATTTTCTATCCACTCTCACATGGAACAATGCAAGCACTTATACCCTTTTTACATTGGAGATAAGATTTTTCAATATTTACACCACTCTCCAGAAATTATATTCACACAGTACAAAATTTCAAACAGTGGTAATAGCAGAGGTGGGGAAAATCTGGTTTTCCTTTTTTTTTTTCTAGCTTGTTGTTAATTTAATGATATGTGACATTGCTATCAGTGCAGTGCAGTAAAAATTAAATGGTACCCAATGTGCACAGAAACTATGAAAATTTTAAATGACAACAGCAACAACAAAAATTATACTTTCCCTTTTCTTTCCTATGTCCTTTGCATTAACATAAGGATATGTGACTTTGCTATCCATGCACTACAATAAAACTGAAATCAGTGGCCAACGCGCCCAGAGAGATTCTTCAAAAAAAAAAAAAATTTAAAAATTGTATTCCTCTGCATCATGTAAAGGATAGATGCTGTAAGGAACAAATTTTACTTCACTGCCACATCACAAATAATATGTCAGCTGTGAACCTATATTTCTTTCTTATCATGAAGGAGAAAAAAAAAAAAGTACTTCAGAACAATTTCTTCAAATTTCTTTTCCTTTTTTAAACACTACAAATATGTTTTAAAACATTTCTTATATTAGAGTCATTGTGTTTATATATTTCCTAAATGAATGCTTTTTTGGTAACATATTTGTGTCTAACATTACTTACATAAATAAAAATATACAGTCATTTTATGGGATAATAGGCAAACAGACATCTGCATGCAACATTTTCCTCATTAGATGTGCTCATGTTAGCATATTTTTATGACTTCACTCAGAGTACAATGTGCTGATATGAAACCTTCTTAAATATAGTTTATTATGTATGGTAACAACCCAAATGCTTTAGTTATGCTCAGAGAATTGTTTAATAAAGGAGCAGTTAACACTACTGTTGTGTGAGGTGATGTGACCTGGAAGAATATGCCCACAGGCACAGCAGGAGCAAAAGCAGTAGCTCCTCATCTGTGATCAGTAAACTGCTGATGGTCCACAGGTCCCTTCTTCAAGATGATAAGACTGTCACCTCACTGTCCTTGTTTACAGCTACTAAACACCACTGCAAATATTTAGGCATGTATTAGGTGACTTAGCATTTTTTTTCCGCTATGTAGCTTTCATCATCAACACAAAGATGCATAGGTTACATTGAAAATAAGCAGTGGAAGACAGACCTGTTTTAAAGACCATGAGTTTTGAAAAAATCTGATCTATGATTCAAAACAACAACAGTAAATGAAAGGCATTAGTCTAGAAGGCTTAGACCAAGTCTTAATGGGAGTGAGCTCCATCCTTGGGTGTTGCAAACCAATTGTAATGGTTTAACATGAGCACAACTGTCACAGCTAGAAGCCCTCTTTGGAACAGGAGGAACAGAGAGTTCAGGCACTGGCAACATCAGGCCAAGGAGTCTTTAACACATGAGCAGATGAGGTACCTGTGAGTTTAAGTTTCATTAGGATGCATTTGTACAACTAGGCAAAAATCAAGTAATCGGAGGGGTTGATAATCTGGCTGCAAAAATGCACAAAGGCACTGTTTGAGCACTTTCGCATTATGCTGCAGAAGAACCAGGCAAGCCAAGCTAAGGAAACCAAGGGCTTCTGATGAAGTGATTTACACACTGGTCAGTCTGAACACAGTCTGTTCTGATCTGGATGTATTTAAATGCTTTCTTTGCTGTGATTGTAACAATAGAATGAATCCTCCAAACCCTTAGTGCTTTCAGCTGGGTTTGATAGTATTGTTACACCTTCTATGCCCATGCTCAGAAAGATGAATACATAACTGAGAAATTCTCTCTTCTAAAATATTTCTTAAATCCAACAACAAAAGAGTTTAATCAGAAAGTTGCTCCCTTTCAGGGATAGTTCTGCCATAGCTGTTTGGATAAAATGATTGGAAATCAGAGCTACAGTCATTTAAATAATCTGTTAAAAAGCTATTACGTTTCCATAATGCTAGTAATTTTTAAATGGCTCTCGGTTTGATTCATGAACAATACATGAACAGTACATGATTCACATGGGCAATTTTTATTGAGCACTCATCCCCAGAAAAATGTCAGACTGGGAGAAATCTATTGTATATTGCAGCATTTTCATACTTTTTTAGTAGTAGGCTTTAAGGTTCAACTTCTCACAGACCAAAGTTGACGGAGAAGTTGGGGCTGCCACAGAAGATCAAGGAGCCAACAAAGGCTGAAAGATATTATATAGATAATTGTAAAGATCTTGCTGCAGTTCAAGTGCTTTTGAAGTCCTGTAATGACTTCTTGCTATCAGAAACTGTCAGGTTTAATTGACATCAAAGCTTGTTACTAAATCATGAGATCCGTAAGTGTATAAATATTAGTGCTGCTGCTAAGCAATGATTCACCTTAGTATTAACTACAAAAAAAAAAAAAAGAATACTTTGCACTTCTTTGAGAGTAGGACACATAGTGGGCTATACTGAGAGGTGCACTGGTGTATTTGCAGGGAGGATCATGCAACTTCGGGGGATCAGGACCTTCTGCTTTTAATTTAAACTGGCTTGGTGTGAGGGTTGGGTATGTCAATTTTCCTCCATAGAATTGTCCCTGCTGTTATGTATGGACTACATCAATAATCACCCACCTAACTGATCTTAAATTTTCATATAATTTTAATTATTCAAATATTCCTCCAATTTGAAGTTCAGTATAACAGATAATATGTGATCATAAAGGCAGTCACTTAGGGCTTTGAAACCCTTGTAGTAAATATACCCATACTTCATATGCACAGCCACCGTAGATTTGATTTTAAAAGTAGTGTTATTGCTCATTGCCATTTTGAAACAAGCAGTAATGAGCAATATGATCAAAATTCAAAATATTGTTTCTGCTGCGTTATAAGAGAAGTTGAATTATGCAATTTGGTACCAAAGTGGCTTAGACTTGCTGAAAGGGTTCTAAATTATGGTAAGGAAATAAGCAGATATAACCGATGAGCAAGATTTCATATGGATCACAATGGGATTAATGAATAAATATCAGGGTCTTATGTTACCTATTTACAAACACATTTAAAAGTAGAACTACAGCTGTTAGTTATACTTGAGGTACCCTTCACAAAGGAGACTAGGCAGTAAATTGACATGTCTGCACAGCCTCTTGCTTGAGCTGCCTGGGGCACAATATTTCAGTTTTGCAGATCGTCCAGTTAAAGTTCATCTACTTATCAAAGTTTTGAGGAAACCTTAACACAGACTTTATCACATGACACCCTTACAACTCTTCTACCCACCACATACTGGAGGTTCCCTGGGGGAAAAAATAGTGTGGGTAGGATCCTAGGTAAAGTGTACCTCTAGCACACATTAAATTTTAATGAATCCCAGTTGTACTTCATTTTGGGAAATGATTCCTCTTTTATTGTTGAGTTAGTTAGGTCAATAATCATGTTCCTAATATATTTAACAAACCATCAGGATACACGAAATATATTACCAGATAATCCTCTCTGGAATCCACAGTTCAGTTTTTAAGTATTCCTTTCATTAATCTCTGTAATCCTGTGTTGATAGAGGTCAGCAAAACAGTAGCTAAAACCTGTATGATAAAACTAAGTCTAGATTTTGCAATCATTCTTTCTATATTTTTTGCTGCATTTTTCTCAGCTGTTTTTACCCCTAAAGGGATGTGACCAGCATTATGGATGTTGAACATGACAGTGCCCAGAAACCACGGAGAAGGTCTTTACACCAGTACATGAGCCAAGGGCAGAGATCCATCAGTAAACTCACTATATATTCAGAAAATATATGTGAAAGTCAAAACAGGGACTATATGCTAACTGAGATTACATTAGTTTACCTGTGTTCACAGCCACTGGATTAGCAATCAGTGTTCACAAGCAATGAAAGTTAACAATGCTGGGTTTCTATTGTCCAAAAAAATAGTCCAGTGTGTTTTCTCCTTTTCACTGTGGTTTATTTATGGGAAGAATATTACTGCATGCTTTGAAAATATTTCATTTGTCTTTGGCTGATAGAACACACAAAACACTTACTTAAGCAGAAGTATTAAATAATAGTTTAAATGTGAACATTCATGTCATAAATTCTGTGGTCTTTTTAATGTAGGATAAATCTGTGTATTTAAAATGGTCTTTCTTCAAAACCATCTTTTCCCTTTTTTTTTTTTTCCAAACAATCATAAAGGAAACTCTGATTTGTGCTACATGAACAATGCCAGCACCATCTTTGTAATGTTACCCATATGGGCTTCTAATAATAGATAAGCTTTTAGAATTTTGTATTGTATTTCTTAGAGACATTTAAAGTCTTGATAAGGAAAGGCTGATTTCATTGGCCCCACAGTTAAAGGAAAGCAGACCCTAATTAAAAGAATTCTGTTCTGAATTAACTAGTTTGACATGTGTTAATTGACAGTTCCTGTGAAATGGTTCTAATTAAAGTCAATATGTCTTTTTCAATTAAAAGGAAATTAAGAATATACTAATATACATTAACAACTTAATCTGCCTTCAATATCCCATGCATCAGCTGCTTTTTTTCCCGTGTTATTGGTGAACCATCTGACATACATCTTCTACTGTTTCATTATGATATCTCATTATTACTCAACAAGAATACAGGCACTGGTGGATAACCTCTAGAGCAAGAAGAGAACTTACCTCTACTCCATGCATGAAATTTCTTATCACTTGCCCAATAAAAGGTTGTCATGGTTTAGGAATGGTACTAGACAATTCAGTGCCCCCAGTGAAACTCTCCCAAACCTCATGCCACTCACTCACTCCACCATTCCCATCCCCCTTCCCACTCCAGCAGGATGGAGTTGAGAACTGGAGGCACAACAGGTAAAGATCAAAGGTTGAGGTAAGAACAATTCCCTGAAAACAGCAATGAAATAAGGAAACTAACAGCAACAGCAACAATATTAATAACAGAAGTGTGCAAAAGAAAGGGTGATTCACAAGCAAAAATACTCACCACGGACCTCAAGACAATGAAAAATGGCAAACAATGCCATCATATTTTTTGGACCAGAAGCCACGCCCTTCTTCTCGAAAGCCAGAGAATGCCTTCCCCTGGCAATTGTGTCAGGTGCTTTAGAATAAGGTCCAGGTCCTGGTCAAAACTAGAACAAAGGTATTACTTCTGTATTTTCCACACAGAAGGAAAAAAGACCTTTCTCATGATCAGAGATCTCCTTGTTCTTGCATGCTAGGGCAAGTACTGGCAATTAGTGAATTAATTCAAACTTTTTCTAGAAGTCTTATAAGCAGTAGTTCACTGCTGGGCTTTTCTTTCAGTATTTGGCCCAAAGAAAGGCAGGAATTTCACTTTTGAGTACATCTCTCCTGCTCTTTCAGAAATGAATGCAGGGCAAAGTTCTCTGGTGAGAATGGTTTTAATTGTATATACAAGAAGAAAATAAAAAGCATGTCTCCTTGGCAGAGCAGTGCTGAAAACAATCCCATTGTTGTTGCTGGAAATGTGATGCGGTTGTTTTTAGCCACAAAATTAAGCATTCAAATGTGCAGTTGTGTTCTTGCTACCAGTTCCAAGGCTCTACTGCTACTGACTTTACTAACTAAAAAAAGCACCATTAAAAGTATCAGGCCTTATGCCAATAAGAACACTGTCTTGAGTGTATGGTGAACTACACAGAAAAATGACCTCTTCTTGTGTAGACTTTGGTTTTGATTTTTCATAACTTTTCTTTTTTATTTGGGAAATAATAATGAAAAATTCATCTGATACATTTTGGAGAGAGTAGAGTCACGAGGGGTGACAAAGTAATTGACTTAAAAGGGAATTACATGACTGCTTTTTAAAAAATTGCATCATATAACCTGTTAAGGACACAATCTTACTTCTATTATAAATTTTATATTTCATGGAACACAACTTCAGCCATGAATATTCATTCTGATGAATGTTTCACAAAGAGAATATATTACCCAGTCAGATTTTACCAAAACATGACTGTACTCCAGCTGTTTATAGTGGTTTAATTTTTTCAAGTGACTCTTTTAAATTATAACAAAAATATTTGTCTGTTTTCATAAATATTAAAATTAAGCAAATAATAATTTACTTTAACCTGTGATATTATGAGATAAAATTAAGTGGCAGAGAGTAGATTTTTGTAGCTCCAGAAACTGCACTAAAAATGCAACTAATATTCAGAAACTCTGAAATGTATAAAATCATCTAGGAAAATGTGGGTGTTGTAGTGAAATGTTATTTTTCACTTTTGTTTGAAGATGCTGTTTTTCCTGGTATTTGTTGAAATTTATAGTCATTTTAAGAAGCAGCTAGTATCCAAAATCTTTCATACTGTTGAAATAAAAATTACCACAATGCATATTATTGTTTGGTTTTGATTAACAAAAAAATACAGCCAAAATTTTTGGACTGTGTGACCAGATTTTACATAGACAGTTACTTAATTTTTTGCAAAAGCAAATGTCAATGAAAGATCTAAAACTTTGTCCCAAAGCATCTACTACACATCTCACAGTGCCTTATCTTAAGGCTAAGAACAACTTTTAAGAACAACTTTCTTGATCAGCCTTCTTAAAAGCATAGAGACCACTTACACAAGGTTTTAGACTTGGGTAAGGCACTTGATTCCCAGATAAGACAAAGATTTTTAGATAGCCATTATGAGACCAAGAAGTTTCTTACCCAAATCCCCTCATTTGTGCTGCTAGTGGGTTTCCTCAACTCTAAAGGAAGATTTTGAAGGGAAAATTATTTCATAAAGCCTGTAATAAAGAAAAGGAGTAGCTAAGATACTGACCTTAAAAACTAACTGTTTGGTTTTGCCAAATGGAGTTAAATACCCACCTCCTCTTGAAGACCCAAAATAAATGGCCTGATGTTTTATTTCAATATAATAATTCTATTTGAGAAAATCAGGTGCTAAGATAATCAGGTCCTAGAGTCCTCAGTGTCCTCAGGAAAAATACTCATACGTTTACAATAAAAATTGAAATAACATCTTAAATTTTTCCTTTATTTTAAATGCAGAAAAAACCCACAACAGCAAAGTGGACCGGACTCTCTGATGCCACATCTTTGTGTTTATTGTAATATTTTAATATTTCATTACCTCAGCTGGGGATACATTCATCTGTATGTGTATCTAGGACTGTGTATGACTCACAGACACCGTCTTTCTCAGCATCAGATTTTTTTAACTGTTGCCTCAGTATGATGCTGGTACAGATGCAACACTGAACTCAGTTGTGAAATGTGTCTCTAAAGTAACAAATAAACAAATATCTGGTAGACAGCAGAAACTCTGACTGCTTGTATTTGTTAAAATTCCATGGTATTTTGCACAAGTAGAATGCTAATCCCAGAGTCTAATCTGACACCCAAACCCACAGGCCTTTAAAACGTTTTTAAAATAGAGTAAGACTACTTGCAAGGTTCAGTTTGCAGTCCTAGGTGACAACTGATCCTCAGTATTCTCCCTGCTGCTTCTTTTTCCACTGTCTACATTATTTCTCTATTCTCTCTCCTTTAACTGTAGCTTTGCTGTAAACTGCTAGGAACTTATTTCATATATTTCCTCTTTTGGCTGCATTTTATGAACAAGTGAGAGGATAAGGATTATGGCATGTGAAGCACTAGGAAAATTGTTTTCCTCTTCCTCCCCTCGCTAATCCTGTTTCAGTATTTCGACTCCTTGGTCTAAAAGTGGGGAGAAAAGGGGAAAGGAGTTGCATAATGTGAAAACCAGTTGACTTGAATCTGAAAACAGTTATGAATAAGTTCTGTTTGACTCAATAGTGTAATGCATTTCCAGGACATGTAAGAATATTCTTCTCACAGTGCAAACATTTGCGTTTGATGAGGTTGGTATTGGTAGCTGTGGAGTACTTCTTACTCATACAAGTAATCTCAAAAGCCAATTGGGTAGGAAGGAAGAGAAATTATTTGTCCAAGTAAAGATAGTGCTTTATATAAATGCTTTATTATTATTGGTTTCATTGTTGTTGTTATTGTTACTATTATTGTTAAAATAATAATAGTTGTTATTATTATTATTATTATCATTATCATTATTAAGTAAACAGTAGCAATACTCTCTGGGGGCAGGGGGGTGGAGGGAAGATCACTGTGTGAATCAGAGTAGTAATCTTGTGAATTACCTTCCTGTGGATGAAGGTCTAGATGGTTTCCGGTGGAGTCTGACAGCTCTGAAAGTCAAAAACACAGTAAGATCTAAAAGAAAACCAACTGCCAGTTCCTACTAGCCTTCCAGAATGCAGCTATCTCTGCCTTTGTAAAAATGATTGGGGTAGCAGTCTTTCTGTTTATATCCATCCTAACTAGATAGAGCTGCTTGGGGAACGAACTGCCATGTTCTTGATGCAAGCCAAGCACATCTTATGAATTTTACATTCCAAGAGAAAGTTTGTCTTGGCGACAAATTTGATTGAGAAACCAGCAGGTGGGACATGAGGTGATGTGATCCATGTAAAAACCTCTGGTTAGCAAGTTTTTTCTCTTTCAAGCATCTCTCCTTCTTACCATTTTTCCTTCTTCCTCTCTCTCCTTCCACAACACTTTATGTAGTCACATTTTCCTAGCTGTGAATGCTGTGCAAGTTACACATCCTCTTAATACATGCATTATAAAACATATTTGGTTTTGTTCTTAGAACAGATAAACATGTTTTCAGTGTGGATTTTCTAATGAGCTGAAAAACAAAGACATTTGAGGTGTTTTTAATATCTTGTTGGCTTCACTATTGAGAACTTTTGGCCCCAGGCAGCCTCCATTTATGTACCATGCCCCACATCTTTTCTGTTATTGTTAATTGAATATTCACATTACAGTGTTCCTGATCCTGACCCTTTCTTTTTCACATGAATTTCGTACTCAGTGGTATCGATTTTTCTGGCACTCTTAATATTATCATTCAAATAATTATTTTGTTAAAATCATCCCCATCACTGACTGCAAAAACAACTTAAAACTGAGAATGTGTCTGCATCTCTGTGTTTCATTCAGACAGATGGATCAGTACAGAAAATAACTGTGGCTAAGAAGGTGTACCAGTTTAATCTCCTATATTTAAGTATTCACATTTTTCTAACCTTTACTTTCATGCCTTTACATTTTGGGCTAATCTTCGTGGTCTTCACATTTGCTCCAAGACATCATTTTTAGAATGAAGTTAACTAGAAATATATACATTTTTTTTAACCATAACAGAAATTTCATCCAAAACAACTAGCTGTTGGTAATTAAAACACAGCATGGAGCAACTTTCTAAGAATGTTTCCTTCCACTATGACAGAGACATCTAATTAGAACTGTGCCTTGACTGAGATTTTGATAGCTATATTCAGGTCATTTTGAGTCCACAGCCAGGGAAGACTGTGCTGAACACATGCATGGATGAAACTGTTGCTGAGTGGGAGGTGAGCAGAAGTGTTAACAGGCAAGGAAGGCTGTACCTGTTTTGATTAGCCTCTGCAGCTCCTTGTATATTCAGCAACAGAAATCCTGTTGGGATGCTCTTCGATGCATTCTGCAACTCCTGCTAGTTATCAAAATGGCCATCCAAAATCTGGCGATGGACTGAATTCATATCACCTGAAAAGAAATTTTAGTCAACCTTTGCACATTTTTTGGCAGCCATGTGACTTTTCAAAAGTCAAGAAGATGCAGAAAGAACTCAGTTGTGCATGGGTTCATTCTGAGACCTTCCAGTCCTACTCTAGCCCAGACAACCTGTGAGCAGAGAAAACTACACAATCCCAGTTTAGGGGGTACAAACTGGAACATTTATTGAACACAAGCTTCACAATATAAAGGTCTGGTGGGCAGGACATGTTAATGAAGGGGACGGGTTATGTCAACTAGAGGACGGGTTATGTTAACTAGATGACTAAGCAGTTCTCTGCTAAGGTAACACAAGGTGGTTAGTATTTCTTTGTAGCAAGGGGACACAAGGGTAGTGGAACGAAGGGATTTCTTCACCTTCTTGCAACATCACTTTAAAGCCTTTCCATATCTTACTAAGTGAGACAGAACTATCAAACATAGTTAAACGTTAACAGGTACAGTCTACACAGTATCTCTTGTAGAGAGGCTTTTGGTTCCCAGAGCAAGGAGTTCCCTCCAGCTCCCCCTGTCCATGGCTTGCTGCTTAATCCTGTCAATTCTTTTTCTGCTGATAGCTGAGTTTCCATCCCAACAACCAGCTGTAGACACATAGCACTCCTGTGTTAATCTATGAGCTAAGATACTCAGAAGCCCCAAGGCAGTTTTTCTTCTGGGCCTTCCACCATTTTTGCCTACATTCAGGAAAGATATATTTAAAAACTGAAACTATGGGTGTGTAGGGACTTCATGACAGTGTACTTAACAGCTGGGAACCAACAAAGTTTACAGTGGTGTTCACGCCATGAAAAATAATGATCAGGCAAAGTCATCAAAGATAAACTCATGTACAATATGAGAGGACGCTTTTATTCATCTCAAGCCTCTGTCCTTTTACTTGAAATGCACACCTGACTGCACACTGATGTGTTCATGGAGCAACTGATGTGTACACGGAACACATGTTCATGTAGGTACATCAATCTACCTGTATGCCATATGTTAAAGGTGTGAGATGTCTGATATATCTGTAAAAAGGAACATGCTGAAATGCTGCAGAGATAGTGAATGTGCCTAGCTAGATAGAGCTGCGTGGGGAGAGTCCAGTAAAAGTACATGAAAAGTACCCTGTAGAGAGTACTTGTATTTCTGACAGGTAATATTAAAATAGATAGCAGTGAAAGCAAACTGGCAGTGTAAAGCTCTCTAAAATATGTAGATGCCTTTGTTCCACTATCACAGAAATAGTGACCCTGTCTAATGGTCTGTTAAAAGTTTTGGGTGTCTAATTAAGCTTTCATATCCATGTTACTCACAAGCAAATTTGGAAACCCAGTGTGAGATAGCAAAGGAAAATAACCATGGGTGTCCCGAAAGGATCATCTTTTTTCTAGATATTGCCATTTTACTGCTGTAGTCCATTTCAGATATACTAAGTACTGCCATTCTCTAACATATTTGTAATGTCTATCTTCTTAAAGCTGAGATAATACCTTAAGAATACTACACTTTTTTGGTGGAGAAACACCCCACACCTTTGAAGTAAAAACTAATATAACCTCAAAGACCAGACTAAATGTTGCAGTGGAGCTTAGTCATGTTCCTGTTTGGGTAGTTAACTATTGCATCTTTGATCCATGAAATGTCTTCCCAAGCCAAAAAAATAGCCCACTGTTAAGTATGTGATTGTATAGTTGTAGTGGGTTTCTCTGGCTGGGTTTTGGTAGTGGGGGGCAGCTAAAGGGTTGGCTTCTGTTAGAAGTTGCCAGAAGCTTCCCCTGTCCCTGGAGCCAATGCCAGCCGGCTCCAGGACAGACTTCCTGCCACTGGCCAATCAGGAGTAACAGTAACACCTCTGTGATAACAAATTTAAGAACAGAAGGCTGTGGTGCAGAAAGAATTCCAGCCAGGGAAGAGCAGAGTGAGAACATGGGAACAACAAGGCAGACACCAAGGTCAGTGCAGAAGGAGGGGCAGGAGGTGCTCCAGGTGCCGGAGCCGAGGCCCTGCAGCCCCTGGTGCAGCCCATGGTGGGGCAGCTGTGCCCCTGCAGCCCAGGGAGGGACATCGGGGTGCAGAGACCCCCCTGCAGCCCATGGAGGAGCCCATGCTGGAGCAGGTGGATGCACGAAGGAGGCTGTGACCCCGTGGGAGGCCCAAGATGGAGCAGGGTCCTGCCAGAGACCTGCAGCCTGTGGAGAGGGAACCCCACACTGGAGCAGGTTTTACCTGGGTAGGACTTGTGGCCCCTGTGGGGGACCCACATCAGTACAGCTCATTTGTGAAGGACTGCACCCCATGGAGGAGTGACCCACAGGACAGCAGTTTGGGAAGAACTGCTGCCCATGGGATGGACTCATGCCAGAGAGGTACATCAGGGACTGTCTCCCGTGGGAGGGACCCCAGTGGAGTAGGGGAAGGACACTTCTCTCTGGGCAGTGGCAGAAACAACAACAAGACCGTAAACCCCGTTCCCCATGCCCCTGCACTGCTGGGTGGGGAAGAGGGAGAACATGGAAGGAAGAGGGGTGGGGGAAAGGCATTTTTAAGAATGTTTTATTTCTCACTCTTTAAGTACTATCCCCGCTTTGAGTCTGTTTTGCCCATGAAGGTAATCAGTAACTGACCTCTGACAGCTGTTATCTCAATGCATGAATCCTTAGCTGTTTTTTTCTTCTTTCGCCCCTGCCCAATTGCAAAGGGAGAGTAAGACAGTGGCTTTAGTGAGTATCTGGCATCCAGTCAGGGTCAACCCGCTACAACAGTTCAGATTGCAAGACTGGAGACTTGAAGCGGTATTAAAACAAGGCCAGATGATGGTCGTATGTGACACCTCTTACTCAGCCCAGTTGAAATCAGTGGGACTGTGGTATGAAAAAAGAAATTATTCACAAATGATAACAAGGAATTTCCAGTCTCATCTTTCAGGTTCCGCATAGTTTTTGTATATGCTTATTGAAAATAAGATGTCATTTTATATTTTATAATTTGAACCATATAGAATCAGCTTAATTTATGCAGAATCCCACATGCCTGTTAAGTAGTCAGAATGCTTTTCCGGAGGAGAAAGCATACAGACAGATCCAATATATCTATATATGTACATGCGCAACCAGCAGACCAAATTTACTGAAAATAACTTACTGGAAATAAACTCTCTAGCTGTGACATTTTACACCAGTCTTCAGGACACAAGAAGACAACTTTTTGTCTTCTTGTATCAATAATTAAAAGGGGTTTTGAAATTCGTTTCATTCCTTTTCCTGTTTTTCAGTAAACACAAAATGACAGTTTGCTGGGGTGATGGGGAAGTCTTATCCTGAGGTTTCTAAAAGGCACAGCTCAGCAATATACCATGAGACAGGGTCATATAAATTAGTTATTTTTGTGAGTGTACAGTGAGATAATGTATTCAGGGCCCCTTATTTCCCTGTGGGTGAAAGAGGCATCCATGAGATTTGGTGAATGCTCAAGGCTCAGTTTCTTCAGGCTCTAGAACAATGTATCCCAGTGAGAAAGAAGGCAGGCCAAGGGAACAAGAGACTTCTGGAGATGACAAAGAACTCCTGTCATCGCCCAAGTATAAGCAAGAAGTTCACAGGAGATGGAAGCAAAGTCAAGCCATTTAGAGGGAACATAGAGAGGTGGTCAGGATAAGAAGAAATGAGAGCTAGAATTAAATCTGGCCCATCTAGAATTAAATCCTGCCAATGATATCAAGAATAACAGAAAAGGCTTTTTCAAATACATAAAGGAAAAAACGAAAACAAAGGATAATATTAACCCATTAATAAATGTAAGGGGGACCCTGGTAACAGAGAATGCAGAGAAAGCAGAGTTATTTAATGCATTCTTTGCATCAGTCTTCACCAATAAGATGAGCTCTCAGTGATCTCTGACCAAGGAGACCAGGGAATGTGAATGTCAGGAGGGAGACTTTCTGTTGGTGAAGGAGGACTGAGTCAGAGAACACCTAAACAAACTCGACATCTGCAAGTCCACGGACCCTGACGGGATGCATCCATGAGTGCTGAGAGAGCCTGCAGACATCATAGCTAGGCTACTCGTGATCATCTTTGGGAGGTCATGGAGATCAGGAGAGGTACCTGAGGACTGGAAGAAAACAAATGTCACTCCAGTCTTTAGAAAGAGCAAGAAAGAGGACCCAGAGAACTACAGACCAGTTAACCTCACCTAAATTCCTGGAAAGGTGATGAAGAAGTCCAACAGAATCTTGGGATGCACTAGAAAGAGCATTGCCATCAGGCCAAGGGAGAAGATCCTGCCCCTTTACTAAGCCCTTTTGAGGCCACATTTGCAGTACTGTGTGCAGTTCTGGGCTCTACAGTACAAGAGAGACATGGATCTCCTGGGTCAGGTCCAGTGGAGAACTATTAAGTTGGTCAAGGGTCTGGAGAACCTCTCTTATGACAAAAGTCTGAGGGATCTGGGCCTGTTCAGCCTCGAGAAGAGATGACTGAGAGGAGACTTCATTAATGTGTATAAATATCTAAATAACTAGAAGTAATAATATCTACATTAATGTGTATAAATATCTGCCAAGAAAATGGAGCAGACTCTTCTCAGTGAAGCGAACCAGTAGAACAAGAGGCAACAGGCATCTGCAAGTCATGCACAGGAAGTTTTATCTAAACATGAGGAATAAGTTTTTACTGGCAAGTAACCATGCACTGGAGCAGATTGCCCAGAGAGGATGTGGAATCTCCCTCACTGGAGGTATTCAAGAACCATCTGGACACAGTCCTGCGCCATGTGCTCTAGGATGACCCTGCTTGAACAGGGAGGTTGGATCAGATGACCCAGTGTGGTCCCTTTCAACCTGACCAATTCTGCAATTCTGTGTGTAGGGAAAGCTGAAGTAGGAACTGACTTGAGTTGCAGCAGAGGTGTTGTGCTGTGTTGTCTAGGTCAGTGCATGCAAGGTGAGCCTTCCTAGACTTTTAATCACCACAATTGTGATTAAAACA